CTGAGGAGTGGCTAGTGGGTTTGAACCACCAGCCTTCTGGTTAGCAGTCAAATGCCTTAGGCACTATGCCACCAGAGCTCTGCATTATCTATTAACACAGAAATTACCTGCTGGTTTTGCCCTTCCATATTGAAGATCTAGTGCATCCTTTTAAAAATACAGAAATTTCTTCCCTGTGTTTGATTTGTTCCTAAGAGTCATATGTGAGAATTTTAGGCAATTGTGGGGTTGAAGGGCTTTTTGCTATGGTTATGAAGCTTATTTTCTACTTCCTTTGTTTGCCTGAAAGCTATGTCAGAGATGGACATGAAGCAACGGAAGAAGATGTTCAAGAAAGTTAGAGGGAAAGATGTTTATATGACTGTGGGTTACAGCAAGGGAGACTCTGTCCTCCCACCTAGGCTTCAGCAAAATATGCATTATGGGCATAACTCTCCAATGTACTACTCACAGTCAGCTGGGAATTTTATGTCTAATGAACATTTTCATCCTCAACATTCATCTCAGAGACAAGGTCGGGGATATGGTGTGCCCAGGTAAGATTTACCTGACTTTCAAAACAATTCATATCTCTGGTTAGATCTTAGAAATAATTCCTGGACAGAATTACAGTAAAATTGAGAATGATTTTAATTGTTTATATTCCTTTATGATCTCTCTCTAAAGGGAACAGAGACAATAGAAATGATAGAGACTGAAATTCTTGTTAAATGAATTTATTGGCAGTTTTGTATTCTCATAGTCTAGGGAAATATAAGGCAGTTGTTGAAATGCTAGAAGATAGAATGTTGTCGAGCATGAATGTCCACGTGGTATGTGGCATTGTATCCATTAATAATAGATATACCTAATGCCAGTAGCAGGGAGAACAAAAGTTTTAGAAAGGTATATCAATTCTGTTTAAAGAGAGAGTGACTACTCAGGCACTAGTGAATAAAGAGGTTTTTTTTTTTTTTTTTTAAAAGGGATTCAGCTCGCTTTATAAACAGGCACAACATGATGGGCCCTAAAGTTGGTTTCTGCCCTGGCCCAGGTAAAAGGTGTTGTCAGAACTACGATAACTTCTCTTACAGAGCTCGGTGAGTGAATTTTAAGTGTTCAAAGTCAGAGAAGATGGGTAAGTCTGGTTTTACTGCTGAGCAACAAATACATGGACTGATTTAAAAGACGAGTCAATGTTGGGATGTTTGAATTGTTACTTAATTAGAAACAAGCTGCTTCCATCTTTTTATCATTATTTCCTCTTTTAATTCTCCAAATTACTTAAGTTCTTTTAGACGAAGTCATCGCCAGATGCATAGTATGAATAAGGAATGCCAATATGGCTTTGCCCCAGAGAATGGACAAGTGCCCAGAGGCTTGGAAGAGAACATTACTTTCTATGCAGTTGAGGAAGGAGATGAGACTACTTATCCACCTTTACCTGTAAGTGTGTCAAAGCTTTAGTCAGAAAGCTTTTTTTTTTTTTTT